TTTTGGAGAATTGATTTTTGAATAGTGATATGATGGGAAATGTGTGGTTGAAAAAGAAGAAAAAATTATTGATGTGATGGAAAATATTATTTTATTGAAGAATGTGTGGTTGAAAATGAGAATTGATTTACTATAGAAAATCAAAACCCATACCAAACAGGCTCTAGATATAGGGGGCTATGTGAGTCATATTCGTTAACAGTTTACCTAATTATGTTTCTGTTTTTAAAATATTACATTTTCTCTCTCTCACTCTATTTTATTGTTAAATATTTTGTTTGTTCATTTCTAGGACCCAAAAAATAATCTAAAATATTGGAAATTCAACTCCAAAGCAAAAAATTAAATTTCATTAGAAATCTACAGATTGGTTGGCTAAAACTTGGTCAAACTTAATTCATTTTACTACTAGTCAATTGATATGGAAATGTCTCTTTTTATGTAGATAATTAATTATAAATTTACAATGCCAAAATACAAAGTTATTCGACCTCGACTTCTTCTAAGTTTGCCTTTAACTTTTTCAATTCAAACTCATTCAATAATGTCGTCAACATATAACCAAATTAAATCGAAATTATATTCAATGTTGAATTTATCGAACAAGTGAAATATGTAGTGAATGTTAAGAATTGAGGTTCCATCTTAAAATATCAACTTCATTAAGAGGAGTAATCAAATTTTTTATAAGTTGGTTTATGTTTAAATCTCTATTCGATGTGAGATTCTATCCCTTAACATGTCGCCGCAAGATGGTGGCTCGTTTGAACAGACCAATCTTGAAATTCGTATACTCACTTTTGAAGTCTTAACCAGATCGACTTGCTCGTTCGAGATTAATGAGCTCTGATACCATATTAAGAATTGGAGTTTCATCTTAAAAGGTCAATCTTATTAAAAGAAGTAACTCAATTCTTTCTAAATTAGTTTATGTTTACATCTCTATTCGATGTGAAATTCTATATCTTAACAGTGGGAAATGAAATCCAAATCAATCTTTAAATGATAAAGGAAAATTGATGCAGGGAAGAAAAGAACAAGAAGCTGAACCTTTCCAAATAAAAATTCAAGTTTCCAAAGAGTTCAAAATTGATATAAGAACTTTTTTATAAAATTGAGATTTCTATATTGCTAGACAGCTTTTTGGCCCATACATGAATTAATTTCTGCCATGTGTTCCGACAGATCAAAATTCAAAATTGTACGACCATAAATTTATGCAACTAAATTAATTATTTTCATATCCTAATTCTCAAGATGGATATTAAGCTAACAAGTGCGTTGGAATGCATGATGAATTCCTCCATGCTCTTGCATGCGATTTAAGAATTTCTCTGGCTTTCTCCTTTGTCTTTGATCCTCGATCAAAGACTTGAAGTACCAGGCACAATTTTGCCACTGCGCCAATCTGCAACATTTCTTGTAAAATTCCAGGAGTTGCAGAGAACTTCGATATCGAATGTAGAATTCTTATACCGCTCTTACTTGCTGTAGATGAAACCCTAAGAATCTTCTTTGAA